TGCTCTACATGTCTTCCAGGTAGACTCCTTTCTAGACTGTAATTTCCGATTCGTAGGTCTTAAACCCCCGTTGGCACTAGCTCACGCTTGTTGTGTGATCCCATATACAGCATTAATATTTCTATTAATAATTGTTTAACTGAACTCATAAAACAAAATGTGCCGAATATGCTGCTTCGCCACTTCGGAGGGGGGGGAAACTGTTGAAATTAAAATGCACTCTTCAGAACTTGCTCTAAAAATAAGAACGAGGTAAAATTGCTATCTGTTTTTGTTCCAAGTTGATGTAGATAACTTATCCCGTCTCACTGAGACTTTTAGTTCAATTGAAAAAACCGTAATATTTATTGGATGGTCCAATATAGTACAGCTGATTCAAATACTCCTCTTTATTCAAAATGTTCGCGTAAAATGGCATCATGTCATGAAACTTGCGGTACTTGAATTGTTTTAGTAAAGAGCATTAGCGCACTCTTTACAAAAAAATGGTGTAAAATAGCATGATCCAGGTTAGCTCAGTTCGTCTTGAAGAGAAAACTGACTTAAAGCATCTCTTCACCTTTTGGGGCAATGTCGCATTTTTAGTAAAAAGCAATTAAACAGAAGAAAGGTTAGATTACTTTTTGATGAGGAAATATATACCTGTTCATGCCACAACCATTTCATTCACCAGATATTTTACTTTGACTGAACAGACAACCACTAAGATGCACTTTTCAGCTCCATGTCTAACCACTGGAAGTCCAAACAATACTAGTCTTTTCTGAGGATACCATGTCCAAACAGGCTTTCTGTCAGGACATTTTCAGTTCCAAGACGTTCAAACTTTAGAATGTAGGTAACACAAAAGCTTAGAGGAAAGCATAAAATATAGCGTGTAACTGGTATAAAATCTGCAGTGACAGGAATCTAGGTATAATGACAATATACCCAGTTTTTCATTTCTTTGACCCTGCTATTCTTTCTTATCAATATGGTTCCAGTGGTTCAACTATTCTAAACAATCCAAACTATCAAAAACGATAACATGGCCAGTGTGTGATAAATACAAAAAGAGACATTCTACTAACGTTTCAAGAAATATCAGGAGCTTTGGAAAAACATTCCCATGGATATGACTGTACAAGTACAAAAATTTGGATTTCAAATAGAATTGTCTTGCAAGCGCTTTCCACAATTTTTTTGAAGACAGGAGCATTAATAATACATTCATTTTGTTGACTGACTAAATTACGACAAAGTCCTCAAAGGCTATGCGTTCTCCCCATAATCCATGTTTAGCAATCCATATCTTCGTGGGGTTTTTTAAGCGAAACTAGCTTCCACATATAGTATACATAAGAAAACACGCAAACTCTATGCATAATCAGCCCGTTCAAATCGAACTGTGGAATAACTAGCACTATTCCGTGGATTTGGCCACTTTCTGCTATTAAAGCGTCATTATGATGCAAAATTCCCAGACAAATATTCAAAATTATTTACTCAACAAAAATGGCAAATTATAAAGTCTTCTCTTAGATATATTGGCTAATACACCTTTAGAGTCAGAACTCTTTCATTTGATGAAAATGTAGTTGGTATATATTTGATATACATAGAATCTTCTCTAAAACGATCACTCAACATTGCAGATGATTCTAGTCTTTCGTGGAAATATAATTATTCTGTCGTACAGAGATCATGCTCAATGGTCTTGTTTATTTATGTTCTCAGAAACACTGGTCTTTTTCAAACGTGGTCATCTTAAGTACTTAGTCAGAACAACAGGGTGATAATCTATGTCGTACATTCTTAAGAAGAGTTCTATTCCAGTCATAATCAATGTTTTAACAATTCTGCATTTCATGTTTCATGAAACATCTAGCATTTTTCTAGCATTTCCCCTTAAATAATGGGAAAAACTGAATTCTGGGGGAAAAAATTTTCATCATTTTAATAACATAACTTACCGCCAGATGGCGCGGATCTAATTACTTAAAATTGCTTGCCGAAAATCTTAAATGAGTTCGCGTGATCTTTAAACGAGATTCTCTATGCTTCTGTTCTCACACATTAATTTTCTTGAAATAAATTTAATAAAAGAAATATATGCTTTAATTAACTTATTCTCAAGAAGAAAGCGTTAATACCAAAAAAAAAAGGGGGGCGCGTCTGATGCAATATCTCAAAAGTAGAAAAACTACATATTTATATTTTAAGAAACTCTATGTAGAAAAATCAGCTAAAACTAGGTATTCTATATTAGAAACTTGCTCCTATTTGTCCAACGCGTCTTGTATAAGATGTTTGTGACCACTTGACCTTTTTTGAAGTTCTTGCTATGCAATTTTCATTTTCCCATTTATTTATTTATTTTGTATTTTGAAAAACTATGCATGAAAAATGTGCAATGACTCGAACTCAGCACCTAGCCGGACATTAATTACATCTGAAAGGCACGCGGGAAGAAGGGAGAAAATTCTTAAACCTTACAATTTCCCCCTACTTAAAGATCCAGTAGAGAAGTCGAGACCCAGTCACCAACCTTAGTGGTAACGAATTATTGTCCACTCCTTTTTTAGTTCGGGTGCAAGTAGCACCCGAACTAAAAGAGGAGAAATAAAAAATGGAGCAAGAGAAATAAAAGATGTGGAATGCCCTTACCAGGACTCGAACTCCGAAACCTTCCGATTTCTAGCCAGACGTGCTTTACAATTACACTGGGAAGGCACGCGATAAGGAGGAGAAAAACCTTACTACATATCAAGATGCATTGCTCAAGGTATGCTGGGCGAAATAAATAAATAAGTAAATAAAAATCAATGATACATACCAGCAAAAAGCTTAAGCAGATAGTGCGACATTCGATCGATTCTTAGGATGTTTTACCAGAATTCATAATTGCAACCAAATGAGACAAAAATGTGCGATGCACTGCGTACTAATTATGCATCTGATGAAGTCCCGTATGAAGACACAGTTCTTTCGGAATCATTACTTTCTTGCGAATTCTTAACTGGAAAAATCGCGATGATTCTGCTAAAAATAGTTCGAAATTCTTAAAATCTGGAAATGCTACAAATGAAAGCAAGCTGCATCAAGTAGCATTAAGTTAAAGAGTTGCGCTGCCATTAATTTACGTGAATACAATAAAGCCTGAAACCAGCTATTTAGGAGGGAATCTCTAGACAATGAACAACGGTTAAACAATTTCGAGATTGACAAAGTGTAAAAACGAGTTGGAGGCAACATGAATTGTGTTATCGAGCCATAGGTAAATTAGTTGCAAAAAGCGGCAGTCTGACGTTGCAAGATAGATAAATCAATTTCTAACTAATGATTCAACCTCTCGAAGACTTACCGAAGGTAGGCCAAACGTTTTGCGACAGGTTGCACATCACGACAGGGCTACAACTCCGTCTTAGCTCAGATTCGTGTTATTTCTGCTACAGAAAGGACAGTATCTGCCAAGACAGTACGCAGAAGCCTGCGTGAAAGAGATCTGTGCAACCAGCATTGTACCTCCCGTTACTGGAGGAAGGATTTGAATAAGGTACATAAATCATGTAAATTGGAATGAAAATTTAGGCCTTTTCTGTTCACTAATGAGTCCCGTTTTGGTTTACAGAGAGATTCTCGACGTGTTTACATATGGAGAGAAGCAAGCACTCGATATATCCCGTTCAACCTACGGAAAAGGGATACCTTTTGCAAGAGATAGTGTTCTTGTATGGGGATACGTATCTTTAGGTGGACGCACAGACCTTGTATGTGCGCCACATGGAACTGCTAGTGCTCAGAGATACAGAGACGGCATACTGTAGCCTATTGTTCGTCTTTATGCTGCCACAATTGGCAGTACCTTCATTTAGGAAGCAGATGATGCCCACTCTCACACTACTCGCCTCACGCACCAATTTCTTGAAGAAGAAACTATAGTCCAAATGGAATGGCTAGCACGCTTTTTCAGCCTTAATCCCATTCAGAATGTGTAGGATGGATGCTCCCGGAGGCTTCCAACCCCCCCCCAAAAAAAACCCCTAGACGGGATTAAAACTGCTTTACATGATCAATGGGCATTGCTACTGACACAGCTCATTGACAACATCATAAACAACATGAAACATCGCTGTCAAATCTATACTGCTCTTCAGGATGATCACATTCACTACTGAGAAATTATTTTCATTTTTATCTTCGAATTTAGATTTTACATCATTTTCTTTTATCTTCAAGTTGCAAGTGGTATTACAAATATTATCGCAAAGTTTCGTCCAATATCCATGCCTACGTTTTGAGTTGTCATTAGTTTTCCTTTCGTCGCTTAACTTTGGAAAGTAAAGTTAAAACTTCTAACCATCAATTTTTTTCCTTTAAATTGTAAAAGCCCTTAGCAGTACCGTTGTTTTGCATCGCTTCTTTCAATCTCTGACAACAAAAAATGATGTTCAGTTTTTAAATATTCAAATTCATTGTTTGCAAGAATATTCTAATATTATCGACTTCATAAATCTTTCGATATATTTGCAAGAAAGATTTCCACAACAGCAGATAATACATTATAGATTCAGTAGGTCATTCTCCTCGCCAGCAGTCGAAACTAGACCTCTCAAATACGCGCCGAGTGTGCTATCATTACACCACGAAGGCATGCTGGAAAAAGAGATAAAATACCTTCTAACACAACCTGAATTATATTCATTATTTTTTATCATAGCCTTTTAGGTAAAATAATATTCTAAAGCAAATAATAAAAACTGCAAGAAACGGTACAATGTGTGTGAATCTTCAATTTCTTCTTACTTATTTATTAGTTATTTAAGCATGTACCTCTTCGGCATGTTCTTTTCTAAATTTAAATTAACGTTCTTCCACTCTGAATTCCATATATTGTCTGCTTTTAGTATATTTATTGTGTGATCTGAATATAATCTTGTGAATCTGCTAAATATTTCTTAAATCTTATTTTTTCAAAATATGTATTGTAAATAAAAAAATGGCACCTTCATTTTTTTCAGATGGGGAAGACGAAGGCAGGAACAGCCACTTTCTTTTTACTTTACATCTCTACCAATACAGAGTTGAACGAGGAGGTAAAGGAGGGGGTAAGTATTAAAAGTCACAAAATGGCGTTTAATAAATGTTAAGCAAATTATTTAAAATATTATTCTTTTTGTTAATATACTCAAAAACATCAAATGCCTTTTATATTTGTCTCCAACATTAATACGATGCGATGGAGAAATATTTAAAAATGTGTGCGTGCTGTACGCAGAAAGCATCAAAAAGGTGAAACAAAAACATCTTTTTTAACTTCTAAAGCATATTGGCACAAAGAAATTACTCTCCTTGAACAGATTGTAACATAGGATAGTCAGAATCGACTATAAGCGTAAGCGTTCTGAACGATTTTACGTAATGAACTCCATAAATGTTTCTCATTTTTCGTATGGATGTCCAGTTTCGGAGACAGGCACACTGGAAGTTTCGCTCCATTACCTCCCGTAATACAAGTTATCGAAGAACAGACATCGATAGCTTACAGATATACAATGTCACAATGCAATCAAGTTTTAAAAACGTGTGGTACGATGGGAATATGCAAAGTCGTAGGACGCGGTCACGAATGTTGTCCCATCAATCCCAACATCGTAAGTTGGGGTAAATACAATTAGCTTCGGTACAGACACCTAAACTCATTTATGTAGAAATATGGGCAAAACTATTATCGAATAGTTTGCAAAACTACTGTGGCATGTGTCTCCTGTTGTGGAAAATCTGCGGCATAATACCAGAGTAGCCGACAATCAACGATAGCCAAACCTTGAATGTCCAAGATGTAATACTGACTATTACGAGATGTAATCCCCCCCCCCGAAGAACCGAAGCGTCTGCTATTTAGCCTAATCACAGACGGATATGCAGATATACTATAGATGTACAAAGTCTAGTACAAGTTTGTGGCCCTCTCGACCGTCACTCGCTCAATAAAGAATTGTCTTATCGATGAGGTGACTGCTCCAAAGAATGGGGAATGAAAGAAGATCATTGACCTTTGTCTCGATACAGTGATGACTCTGAGATGTAGTTCCAGGAGTAAGATTTCAAATATTCAACCATGAAACCAATAAGTGTAAAACTCTACACTTGTGACATAAGCTTGACCACAATGAAGACCGATCCATTACAATCACCTTTCCGTTTCGAATTTAGTTCCCATTCAATTTGGAAATGAACGTTTAGTGGTTGCATAGTTATGTGGCGCTCAGCCGATAGTCGAGATCATAGAATGAGATGGAAAGTAATTTGCACCACAGTCAACTGCAAAGAGAGATGTTGAATTAACTCCCTCTTGTGGTACGTTTGTGTAGGTACTAATATGATGTAATAGATAATTTTCATTGGTGAAAATAACGCAAAGGAATTCTTGGTTGATCTGCGGTATGCGATGTAAAATTGAATTCTGGAATGCGATGTAAAATCGAAAAATACTTGTCAAGGTAATTTTTGTTTAATCCTCTGTATTTGTTGCACGTATGATTCTGACTATCCGTTCTGTGTGTGTAATTTTGAATGAGAATTTCTCTAATTTTATTATATTATAAATTATTGTACTTAAAAGTCTTACCTTTGTTTTAAATTTGAAAGTATTTGTAAAATAACAGTATAATTAACCCTTAAAATTCAGTTGCAGGTGGTCGAAGTCGCCTTCATCTCTTCGATTTGGGAAGCTGTGACAAAATAGCGACCAAACCTCGTGACGTAGGTTGTCTGTCTTTGTCTGCACTCGGGAATGTCATTCTCGCTCTGTTCAATGGACAAAAACACGTGCCTTATAAGTAAGTGAATTCACATACTTAGACAAGAATTAATTGAAATCTTAATGAGAGTAGAAAATTTAATAATAAAGTATCTCTTTGATAATATTTCCTATTTTCTTGAAATTAAATAAATCTTAGATAATATTTATTTTTTGTATGCCATTTAGAGTGCCTATTAGTTAACTACTTAAATAATTAGATCTCGCCAATAAATGAGATTATAAGCATCATAAGCTGTGCTATACTATGCCAAAATGTTTTTATTTAACTGAAAAAGTAATTAAATGGCATTAAATGTTTCCAAAAACCCAAATGTTAATTGCCAGATAACTCTTCGTAGCACCATTTTTAAAGCCAAAATGTTTCCAAAAATAATAAAAAAAGAAAATATATTTTTAACTAAGTTATCTCTCAGATACCTTAAAATTCATACAACTGTACACTATAACCTCATGATTATAATATTCGTGAATGTAGCCTTTAATGGTTAAAAAAGACAAGCTGAAATATGATTTATATATGGTTCGATAATATGTATTTCGATTGATAATATTAAACATTAAATCAAATAATGATAATGATATTTGTTTTATTTTTAGTCTAAAGTATAATTTTAGAAAGACGTCAACGGTGTTAATTAAAACCATAATAAATAAATAACAAAGACGATTATATTTGTATGATATTTTTAGCAGGGAAGTAAATCTGGAACAGATACCATAGAATATTAAAGATCAAAACAAGTGTGCATTTATTTCACTTTTCTTTTAGTCAGGGAAGCAAATCTTATACAGGCATTAATAAATTAATCACTAAAATAAAGAAACAAGAACGTACGTAATTCCTTGATTCTTTTTTCTTCAAGAAAAAAGTCTTATATAGGTAATATAAATTAAGCCTTAAAGCTCGCGAACAATATATTTATCTGATTATTATGACAATTATCTGACATCATAGAATTAATCCCCAAAACAGATAAATAAGAATGTATGTTTTTACTTGATTAATCTTCTGGTCAAAATAACAAGTCTTATAAATTAAATTAATCGACAAAATAAATACAAATGAACACGTGAATATTTGCTTCAATTTTTTTCTTCAGGGAGCTTATACAGATATCATAACAAAATGCCATAGCAAAGCGTAGTTTCAAAACCATGTACTCAAAACACTGGAACTGCTCAAATTAAAATTTCTGAGCAGTTATTCGGCAAATAACAATCGATGGGGTAAATACAAAAGAAAACAAGCCTTGCGAAACAACTCTTCGACTATCACACCACAACAAATATCAGCCGAGCCGAAAGCGCTTTTCCAAACACAGCAGACTCTCGGCATTCCTGACATTATCTACCTCCTAACACCAAACACAATCGCATCCAAGAGTGAATGATTCATGTGCTTAAGAAGAGTTTTTACTCGGAAATTGATTACGTGCGCTATCTTCTGTCTCCAGGAAAGGGCCACCTATAACGAACTAATTACCCAGTCTTCTCGACTGGAAGTATTCTTCGGCTTTGCTATTTGGAATGCAGAATAGCTTTCCGAATTCTTTCCGGGTTTTTTCTCATTATTCCTTGTCATTATTCGACCACGAAACATTAATTAACCAAGAAATAAGAATGAATTGAAAGATAGTGTTGTGCAAGCATTTCGAATTTAACCCGTGCAGTGTGGTCGCATTCATTTGTTTTATTTTCTGCCCGAAAGAATTTCAGCAAGTAGCTGAGGCCGACATCTTTGCTGTTCTTTATGGTTTTAGAATTTAATAGAACCGGCATACAATGCTTAATAATCATAATTCATGAAAAATGTGATAAAATTAAGGGGACTCATACACCTTAAACCCCTCAATGATCTTCGAATAGTTGACTGTTGCAAGAATTGGGTTATTTTATTTATTTTAAAAGCAATTACTTCCAACTATTTTCAGCTGACGACATAATATAGCTGCTTTGGAAACTAGTAACCAGAAAGTTTGTGTTGCCACAAATATTTTTGTAATTTAATTCACTTTGTGACAAAATATTTCGCAATGTCTCCACCTTGCGCGCATGATATTTTAAAAATGGCTAATGGTACATACTTGAAATTGGATGGAATTCTTTATATGGGCCTATTTTCTAACTGAACCAACAATCTGATGAATATTTTAATATTGAAAAATTTTATGGGCGATAACATTAAAATTTTTTTAAATAAAATGCATTTTATGAACTCAAAATAAAATAAAAATTTAACATGAAATTTTTAGAATTTTAGGTTCACAGTTGTTTCCAAATGTTATAAAAGCTATATATTAAATATGGAATTAAATTATGAAACAGAATGTTTTAAACTGTGCGCGCAAGTTGGAAACATGACGAAAAATGTTGTCACAAAGCGGATTAAATTATAAAAATATTTGTGGCAACACAAACTTTCTGATGACTATTTCCGAAAGCAGCTATATTATGTAGTCAGTTGTAAAAAGTTGGTAGTAATTGCTTTTAAAATAAATACGTTATCCCAATTCTTGCAACAGTCACCTATTAGAACATCTTATGGGTTTTAAGGTGTATGAGTCCCCTTAAACTCGTTTTGTGCTTAAAATGCACACAGGATTCCTACACAGTGAAACTGTAAAACATTTTTGATAAATTTCATTCAATAAGATGGAAGATTAGGAACATATAAAAGTACAAAATGCGTTATATAAACTAAAAGCACACACAACTGTATGCACATATCAACGTATGCATATGTAAATTAAAGTACCATCATGTAAGTATCTTTCATAAAATGTAGTAATAACACAGTGATAAAATAAAATACGTAAAAGAAAAAAAAATGGTTTCTGTACTAAATACGTAATATATGGCATTAGAAATATCATTTATGAATTGCAATAAAGATATAAATAATCATTAAAATTATCAGTTGGGTGATACATAATTAAATGTATTTTAAATATATTAAATATATTATCAAAAATAAATAAAGATATAAGTTATTAAAAAGTGAGTTTATTCTTTGTAAGCAGCTTAATTTTCTTTAAAGAATTATAAAGGGACTAAAATTAAAAATTAAGTGACAACACTATGAGAAGCACGAAGTTATATGGAATGTAAATTAAACATCTTATGTTTCATTCCGTGGCAACATTTGCAAAACAGATTGGATGGTATAGAGACAGTAGTATACTGTATGTAATAATTCAAAAATTTGGAAAGACATCGCTAATGAAGTTTCTAACGTCAGTAAATGTTTACGTGAATTGAAGAAATTGTGTACTGTATGAAATAAATAATGAACGCCATAACAACTTGTTTTGCATTTTATTGAAATCGATTATGTAACGCATTCAGTAGATGAAGTAGAATGTGCAATTTATTGAACAATTCCTGTAAGAAGGATTAATATATGTTAAAGACAGAAAACAGGAGAATGATAGTAATAAAAATAGAGATGCTCTATTCGTTAAAAGAACTAGTTGACGATATTCTTCAAATTGCTTCTAAACTCAAGAAATTTAATCATTTTTTGTGAAACATTTATTAGACTTTATTACCTCCTTACGTTGACTCCATTAAACTCTTCATATATATATATATATATATGAGATGACTTTATTTTTAATTTCATGTTTTAAATACGCCAATCAATATCTTATTTTTGAATTTGCTTTTGCTCTTAATAAGTCACTCTGATTAAGTTCTTAACGCTCTGGTTGTCTTCTTAACAAAATTCTCTTCCACACAAAGAGTGTTTTAGTTCGTTTTCAAATTAATTCATAAAATTAATAAACTTGCTATATTTCGAATTTTTGTAATATCGTCAATCACCAACTTTATTTAATATTTACGATGTACTTATAAAAAATCACGTCCTAGAAAATGACGGATTAGATTTCAAGAATAGAATTAACTCAGTAAAACCTCCTACATCAACTTAAATTCTCCAGTATCGAAAATTTCTTCTGCTGTTAGAATTTCTTTAACTAAAAAAAAAAAAGAAGTAAATAGCAGAGGATTCCTGTGCTTTGCAGTATTCTGAAAGGAAACGAAATTTTTGATACCAATATATTTTTCAAGATATCTTATAGTTCAATTAAGTTGCATATCAAACATGTTTTGAATTAGAAAAATAAAGCACTGCTGCTAGCAGAAAAGACAAAGCGGTGGAAGAGTGAAGATCTTGTACGTATTTCCAATAGGATATGACCAGTAGTTGTAACTTTGTTCAAACTATTGATGGGCCATGACTGCCTAGAAATGCACCTCCATCGCATTGGTAGACAATCTGTATTGTCCTCTTTGGAATATAATGGAAACTATGACGAGAACCCACCTACATCATTGTGGAATTTTCCATGGTGACTGAGACAGCCTTATACTGAGCCAGAGAATTTTTGAGGCAATAATTCCAGTTACTCATTAACTGCAATTTACATTTTTAGCATCCGTTGTCTTCGATATTTATAATTTGGTTTGTCCTTTTTCTTCTACAGGGAAAGCAAGCTCACTCAGCTGCTCAAAGAAGCCATGAGCAGTCTGACGTGTCGAGTGGCCATGATTGCTCATATCTCGTCCCAACCCAGTCACTACTCGGAAATACTGGGAACTATCCAACTGGCATCCCGAGTACATAGGATGCGTAGAAAGAAGATAAAAGTAAATACTTCTATTTGTCCTAACCTCTATTGAAATTGCCTCAAGAACAGTTTAATAGTAGTACTAGAACGCATGGGGTAACTTTGAAAAAAAAATCTGATTGTACACTATTTATACGCATTTTTTCTTGCATTTCATTTACACTTATTGGATTCAATTAAATCTACTTCGCCGCCAGTGCATAAACCACAATAGAATAAATGCATTCTTTAAAATTCACTCTAGTACTTGTTTACCATAGCGAAACTCTGGCGCTAGATTCACTTAACAGTATTATATTTCGTTCATATTGTAACTCATAATGCGGCGGGCATTGGTTGTTTCAAATGTAAACAATCAATGTCCGCTATCAAAAAAAAATTATTAGACTTAGCGGCACTTAAACAACTTTAAAATTGTTGATAATTCTAAAAATATTGCATACAGATTTACTAAAGGCATAAAAATCTTAACCGGAAGATAAGAAAAACATAATTCAATCAATTTTAAAGCAAAAAAATGTACAATTTACAAACATATAAGAGTAAGAAACTGAGATCACTGAGCCGGGGTAACAGAGTGGATATATATATAAATATATTTATATACGTTTGGTGTGGCCGATTGCAACCAAAATACGACGTGCACATCTACATGTTATATTAGTCCTATATACAAAATTTCAACTTTCCGAGGCTACTCGTTTTTGAGGTATGCGAGATATACGTTCGTACAGACGCCACGAAAAATTATCTTCAGAATTCATTTTAAAGCAGTTTTATAATTTTTTTGGAGGAAAAGAGTTTTTTATTCTGTTCTTACGTACAGATATCACGCAAAAACATCGTTAACATGCATTCGATAGCGGTCAAATTGGATATTTTCGTTGAAATATGCTGTCTGAAACTTTTCGCGATTACAATACTTCCTTTCTACTTCGTACAAGAAAGTGAAAAGAATATAAAATTAGTTACAGCATACTAGATGAAGAAAACCTACGCGCAAAACAACCTTAGTTTGATGCAGATATTGAACAAAACCGTAACGATTTCGAGAGTGATCAAACATGGGCCCGTCCATTGTCTTCTTCAAGAGCAAAAAAGACGGACCCGTATCGGATCGTTCTCGAAATCTATTAACTTTTGTTCAAAATATATGCCAAACTAAGCTTACTTTTTTGGATAACTTTAATTTTACGTTCACAAGTTTCTCTTTCCAGTTGAATTAGAAAATGATTATCTTCCTGCAATTTCTTTTTGTTGGAAATGTGTGATTTCTCTTCATATTCCAAAGTTTTATGCATTCAACAGATTTTTATTCTTGTATGGATGGTCAGTATAATTCCGTTTGATACGTAAAATTGGATTTTTACTCTTTCGTAATATGAAATACAAGAAAATAAACTTTTTATGTTGGTCCTGTAGGGAAAATGAAAGCAGACTTTTCCATACATATTAGTAAATAAAAAAATCCAATCTAATAGAATCAAACTTGCCCAAGATGCCATCAATTAAGATTCTGGGAAAAGCTAAATAAATATGGCAGAAGACTTCTATAGTTCATATAGTTTTTAAAATTAAAGTTTCACTTTATATTATATCGGGCTACGATTTCATTAATATCTCTTTAAATAATCACTCCAGATAAATAGGAAGAAATTGACAATTTATTGTAAAACTTAACTATTCGCAATTCATTAAATAATTGCAAATACTTGAAAGTAGAACGCGGATATTAAGCAATTCTTCCTTAACACACGAGAAACATCGTCAAATCTAAAAATACTTTTCGAAATAAAGCAGATTTTTATCTCCAGCGAGCGAGACTGTTGTCACTCGGAAAAATTAGTGCAAAAATTAGCATTTTTAGAGTTTTTAATTAATATCTCGGTTGATTAAAGTCGTATTAAGATGAGAATGTTTGAAATGGCTTCCCACGAATTTTTGGAATCCCTTTCGAAATTTCTTTAATTTTCCCTTTCGAAACTCAACTCCACGCTGTTCCGGAGGAGACGATGTCACAGACAAACAGACAGACAGATGAGCCCAGAACTTAATAGTACAGATTTTCGCACAGCCTTTTATGTATGAGCTTGACATGTTAAAAAGATATCGCACTGCTAGATAAAATTAAGTTAATATGTTTTCTTTAAATGTAGAAATAAAAGTGATAAATTGTTAGTCCAAAAGGCCTATTAGTGTCGAAATGTGATTTTTACTTAAGGGGTATCAGAAACCCCTATACCGACAATGTTAAATTGGCCATTTTCGATGTATCTTTTCTCAAAATCTGCTGTAGATACAAGCTTGAATTTTTTTTTTTTTTTTTTTTTTTTTTTTTTTTTGTAATTAAAGTATACCTATCTGATTATACTGAAATAAGCTTTTGAAGCATTTTGAATTTTAGAGTAAATTACAGAACATTTTGTTAAGCATAGTAAAATTTAGCACCTTTCTCACACAAAAAAATTAAAACAATTTTTTTTTTTTCTAATTTTGTTACAAAAAGCTCATTTTAGTAAATATTAGGGAACCTAATAAATAAGCCATAAAAAGTTTAGTTACCTGTGAGCAGTAGGGTGTCCGCCGATAACATCGCGGCAAAAACATCGCGGATGAAAACGTTGCGGAGAAAACAACGCAAGACAAAAACATCGTGCTACAAAACATCGTGGGAGAAAACATCGCAAAGAGAAAACATCGCAGTTCTAAAACATCGTGGTACAAAACATCGTCGTCAAAAATAAAGCGGTTCAAAAACTTCGCAGTTTAAAAACATCGTCGTCGAAAATATCGTGGTAAAAAATAAAGTGTCTACAAATCATCGCATGACGATAACATCGCAGACATGCTTTTTCAGGTTTTAATAATTGTAAATGGATATTCCCATAATGATTTATGAGCGCAAGATGTGAAGAAGTATAATTTTTACTTTCACATTTTTTTATTAATTAATAAATTTTTGCTTAAAAAAGTAAGAAGGAAAATTAACCATAGAAAATTAAATGCAACTTATAGATTATACTTTTCTTGAAAAATTACCAGTAAAAACTTTATAAAAAAATTATTTATTAATGGCCTTTTTTAGTTAACTATGTCGCTTTAAAATTCTATTAAGTGCTTATAAGTTGCATTAATTTTCTATACTTAAGTTTTCTTATTTTCTCAGCAAAAATTTATTAGTTTATAAAAAAATTTAAAAGTAAAAATTATCCTTCTTCAGATCTTGCGCTCACAAATTATTATGGGGATATCCATTTACAATTATTAAGACCTGAAAAAAGCATGTCTGTGATGTTATCATCATGCGATTATTTGTAGACACTTTATTTTTTACCACGATATTTTCGACGACGATGTTTTTAAACTGCGAAGTTTTTGAACCGCTTTATTTTCGAAGACGATGTTTTGTACCACGATGTTTTAGTACTGCGATGTTTTCTCTTTGCGATGTGTTCTCCCACGATGTTTTGCAGCACGACGTTTTTGCCTTGCGTTGTTTTCTCAGCGACGTTTTCGTCCGCGATGTTTTTGCCGCGATGTTTTCGGCTGTAACCGAGCAGTAGTTCCTGAGAAAACGTACATCGAGTATAAAAAAATCACGTTTGGAGAAAAATGCGTTTTTATGTAAAAATCCTCATTGATCAAAGCAGTAGATGACAAATTAAAACTAGATTTTTTTACAGTTCTAATTTTCATAGAGATTAAAGAATGGTATTTTTAGAAAGATAAAAGTGTAGAGAATTTGAAAATGCAAAAATCCGAAATCACAATTTTTTGAAGATTTTGGGGTTCCAACACCCCTTAACTCACTGTCGTTTAGTGTAAATGCACTGTTTCACTTTTTATTCGAGTTTGTTGCCATTCGGCAAAATGTAAGCTATTTATCTTTTAATCGAATCTGTCTTTTATTGATTAACAAGCTAGCTATTTAAAAGCAATAAATGAAGTTCTAAAAAATATTTTTTTACTTTTTAAACGGATTGATTTAAATAAAAATCCATTTAGTTCCTGATATATCTAATTAAAATCCTTCAATAATTTTATAGAATATATTTTTTCAATATTTCTAATATTTTCCCAAGTATAGATTGGTAATATTACGTTTCTATGTCAGTCTTAATGTATATTCATCTAGTATCTTATAAAATCTTTCGCTATTTTCACCTGGGCCATTTTTAATAATAATCTCTACTTATAAAGTATTTTCTCCCTGCTTTCGGCATGTCTTTGTGTTGTAATTGGAAGCATACTCGACGCGTATTCGAGAGATCCAGGTTTCGAGACCTGGCGAGAGCACTGCACATTTTTCCCGTTTCTGCTTCAAAACAACCTACTGACTGTACATACAATAAAAAATATTAAACTTTAAAAGAGCTCTTAAAGTTTAATATTGTTTATTGGGAGGGGGCTCTTTTAAAGCCCGACTGTTACAATCTGAACCCTTTCAAATTTTATTTATTTATTTTTTTAGACCAAAGGGCGTTAGCCCAGTGGAGCTATTAATTTCGCTTTGGCATTTTACGTTGAAAACTTTAAATTTTGGTTCACTTTTCAAATTGTTGCCACCATATATTATCGCTCTGTGTTATATTTTAAGAAATTAAATAATGAAGAATCTGCATAAATGTATGTATGTTTCTCGCATTGTGTTAATACAACGATACCTAGAACCATCAAATTTTGAATAATGTAATCTTCCAACGAATATGGGTATCTGGAAGTCCTAATTTGGAATTTCAAATTTGTTTTGTATCGATTTCATATTTTGTAACACTTTAACAAATTTTTGATTAACAAACTCAACTATTTCAAACCGAGCAATGGCAACAGTGTACGGAATAAAAATAAATAAAAAATAAATAAATAAAAAGATCTTTATCTTCAGCGCGTCAGACTGTGTATCGGAAGTTCTAAAGATGTGCTTATTTTAAAATTATTTTGCAATATGGATTAAACTGAATTTTATAGTTAGTTTGAAAAACATGATATTTAATAAATAAAGGTAACACACAAAATGTT